GCCTGATTTCGAAACTTCCGATGTACTTAAATACTTCGGTTTGATATCTTTACATCGCTGAGTTTCCTCTCGAGGAAGATTCAAATTTTTTTTTCTCAACTACGATCTGTAAAGAAGTGAGACTTCTTACAACGAAGCTCCATTTCACCAGCCTCAAGCCTTGCATCGCACTTATGACATAAAAATTCACAGAAGTTCGAAATTCGCGTAACGTCTGCGTTAAGTTGTCTTAAAATTAACATTTTTGAATGCGTCTCCCTCAAACTTAAACCACTTTCAAATATTTTATTTTCTGTGAAATCTTCATTAATTTCTAACGCTTAGGAATGTAATTTCACTACAATCTTTTCTCTCAAACTATCGTGTGAAATGAGAAGATGATTGTCTAGAAACAAAATAGACACGACAGCGCAACACCTAGACCTGAGACAAGAATCCAGACAGGCCCAATGAATGAAATAATCATACACTGGCTACAGATTAATTAAACTAATAATAATTCAGAATAAGCAGTCTAATAGGGGTATAGAGTAACTCTGGCAAGAAAAAAGAAACTTCAGAAATGTAAATTTGACACCCTGTATAAAAACATAAAAAATAAATGATAAAAGTAAGTGAAAACAGCTGGTCCACGAAACAGGCTGTGCTACACGCAGGAAGACCTTCTAAATAGAATGCGTTAAGTGAGATGGTAGAACAAGATAAACAGTTCTAAATCTTCAGGACCAAGATCAGGGCAAAACCAAGGACTCTGTCGAAAGAAGATTTTAAAGCCGGTAAAATTCGTAAATAATGAAGGATTCACACGATGCTAGAGACAAACCGATAGAAGCAGACCAAACTTAAGCTTCCAAAACGTCAACTGTTGCGAAAAGTTCTACAGGCCCAATCATGCAATAACAAGCGACGCAGTTTCATAGGATTACGTCGAATTATTCTTACCACGCGTTTTGGACGCAGCATCCGAAGCCGTCTACAGATTAACAGCCTACGGTTAGGTGGAAAAAAAAAACCAAAAAAATAAATAAATACACACATAATACGTGTTCGACATCAACAAATGTGCAAAGAACTGGAACAAATCCGGAGCATCGAGCTGAATATCGTCTTTGGTTTCCAAACACTCTGTACTGATATTACGATCTCACCGCCGAATGAATTCGGGCGGTGCCCACGGTCTAGCACGGCTAAACCCCTAGGATGACGAAAAAGGGGATGAGGGTGGTTGTAGAGGGGGAGGGGAGGGGAGGGGAGATTCAGCATGGCCCAGCGGGCTTTTCCATTATCTCTTTATTCAAAAAACCACCTTATCATCGAAAAGTGTAGCCCGGCGTAACAAATAGGATAGTATATTTGGTAGGGTAATCTGCTTCCATTAGTCGGCTACCCCCCCCCACCACATACACACACACCCTACGTCTCTAACATTTCCCCCTCCGCGCTAAAGAGAGGTTTCGCCACAGAACGGATCTAACGCACCCCGTGAGTGCTAACGGTGATAAGGCAACTGTAGTTACCTAAGAAATGCGAAATGAACGCTTGCTTAATCGAATATAATATTGTTCACCATAATCTTATTTTCTTTATAGGCAGGGATATTACGACTGCTTATTAAAATTCTGCAGATAAATACAAAACATTACTTAATTTGTATCGAAGCATTAGAGTTATATGTTGTGTTCAACAGTATTGGTTCGGTGTACTCTTTAGAGCAGTGGTATTCAACCTTTTTTGTTCGCGTACCCCCAGATATAATTTCTCTTCAACTTTGTACCCCCCAAAGTTGTTGGTGTATATTTCAAGTTATACGTAGTATATAATCCACATCTAAAATAAATTAAATAAATTATATTACTTATTATTCAGTGTTTATCATAAAATAATATATATATATTTTAAATTTCACGTACCCCTTAAAATGTCTTCGCGTACCCCCAGATATAATTTCTCTTCAACTTTGTACCTCCAAAGTTGTTGGTATATAATTCAAGTTATACGTAGTATATAACCTACATCTAAAATAAATTACATTACTGATTATTCAGTGTTTATCATAAAATAATATAT